AAGAAGGAAAAGGCGCCTGTTCCACCTGCCGCACTACCTACACCACAACCCACAAGAGATACAGCTGCTCCGGCTCCGAAAGCAGCACTGCCGAAGTTGTCGCTCAAGATCGGAGGACCGAAGAAGCAGTCTACTGCATCTACACCGGCAACTGCGGACTCTACGCAGGCCTTACAGAGAAGCCACTCTATAGTGTTCTCACCCACTGTCTATCATTCACCATCCCCTGCACCAGTGTCCAAACCTGCATCTCCAGCGCCAGTGCAAGCGCCAGTACCAGCACCACCGCCCCCGCCCCCTGCCGCTCCAGCCGCAACGGATTCGCGTTCGTCGACTCCAGAAGTGCCGCTGATGCAGCCGTCAAAGAAGATAGCCACCCCAGCAGCGACCCCCAAGCCAGCGACTCCAGCACCAGCTCCGGTTCAAGCTCCCACCGCTGCTCCTGCTCCAGTTACCAAGACTCCGGTTCCGCCACCCAAGGTCCCTACTCCAGCTCCTGCGCCTGCCCAAGCGAAGCCAACACCAGCGGTCATCAAGGTACCAAAGGCTATGGCTACACCGCCTGCTATCGCATCACCGGTTCCCCTGCCGGCGCCCAAGCTTAAGATCAGGACCAAGACCGCTTCCGGCTCTACTGTGCCATCAAGGCCCTCCAGCGCAGCTCCATCACCGCGTCCTAGTGCCGCTCCTTCACCTCGACCAAGCGCAGCCCCTGCTCCGTCACGACCCGCTGCGACCAACCCTGCATCTGTGGCCAGACCTGTAATCAAGCAAAAGAGAAGCAAGATCGTCAAGCTGCGAATTGCACCCAAAAGGCTGGCAGGCTTTCTCGCTGGAGAGAACAAGAAACGTAAGATGGTTACTGGAAACGGTGACGACGATAGGCCATCTAAGCGCCAGAGCTTCGAGCCAAGTAGTATGTCAAACGGAAACGGCACTGCTAAGAGCGGTCTCGTTAGCGTGGAGAGGGGTGGTAACAGTGGGCCAAGACTGCTACTAAAGATGAAGGTAGGAAAGGCCAACTTGCCAGGCGAGAAGAAACGATGAGGTCCACGAAAAAATTTTCAGCAAGAGACAAGGTCGACAGTGATGGCCATGACGAGGTATCGAGGATAACACAACATGCATTTCTAAGGTGTTTAACGGACGGGCATCTCTTTCCCCCACAGCGAAATATGGTTTAAGGAAAAGGAAGGTCAAGGCCGCTGCATGCATGCATACGGGATCAAACAGCATTCAGCGATGGCGTTATTTGTAGTGTATTTTCACATGGGTGGTGGGAATGGGACATTCAGGTGGATACCCCCTTTGCTGATTTTAACGAGTATACATGCCTTCATCGGGCTTTGTATTGTTAGACCGCCTAGAGTGAGAATGCATAATTTACACGTGTATGACTTGGATTGAACAGTGAATTAATTAATGGTGGGTATTGATAATGATGAAACGCTCGCTAGAGAGCGAAATACCAGAGTATCCTGTAGTGATGTGTACGCCGAATGAAAGGGTATCTACCATTACACCCCACCTGAAAATCTATACACGGTAATGAAATGATCTCGCTGTGATATTAGGATCCTCGCCAGAAGAGTTTCTTCACGGATCGTACGCCGGATTGGAAGACTGATTCGCTAATAGGTGCTGGAGCTGGTGTTTTGTGTGCAGTAGTTGGGAAGACTTCTTCCGCGGTTTCGGGACTCAATGGTGTTGGTTTGGATGCCACTTGTGGTGAGGAAGGCGCCATTTGTGGTGAAGAAGGCTGGGCGCTCGCTGTTGCGTCTTTCGTAGATCCAAGTATTTTCGTTGCTGTCGCTTTCTTCGCAGATCCAGACACCGTCTTCGCAGTCTTCTCCACGACCATAATTGTATCCATATCGTATGCAGCATGCGGGAAAACACCCTCTTTCCCGGTTTCCGTTCTGCGATATTTGGCATGTGGCAGCGTAGACTTTTTAGTTTGAGCCCAAGGAGTGCGCTTCCTCTTGTTCTTGGATCCGGGAGGACGTCCTCTCTTTCTCGGCACTAGGATGGGAATTTAGTGGGCTAGTCGGAGGAGGGTGTTTCGACGGTCTCACCCTTGATCTCAGCATCGCTTCTTGGTGGGTCTTTGGCTTCGACGTCTTGATCGGACTCTGCATCGCCCATGACGGAGTCTGTATCGTCGTCCTGGACAGGCGGTTTGGCAACCATAGATGCCGTGGGTATGATGTCGTGTTTGTCGTCTTCAGAAATATCGGAGCCAAATTGAGAACCTGCAGTTTCAGGCACTTCCTTGTGTGCTTTGTCGCTGGCTTCCTCTACCATCCCGCCGCATACAAGACATAGTATGTCCACGTCCCACTTGCGTTTGGGTTTCCCGCCGCGCCTCTCTAATAGTGTCAGGCGGGCCTTGTTGTCTTGCGTCTTGATTCTTGCATCCAAGGTGGTGGAGGCTTGAACTTGGCTAGGCCGGCCCCGCTTCTTCAATTGCGGTGCTGCGTCTTGGAGCGCTCGCTTCTTGAGACAGTCCGCATGAAGCCACTCTGAACATTGTGGGCATTGTAGAAGAAGCTCGTCCGGATTGCAAGGCTTCTTGTCGATGCAGTACGTTTTCATTTTGCTCAACTGGCTGTTGGCGCGCTTTGTAATGTCGTAGCTCTGGCGGAAAAATAGCTGATCTGTCTTGAGGTTGAGGCTTTCCGGGTCGTCGTCCCAATACACAACGTCTGCGGATGAATCTACTGACAAAGCGTCAATGATATCCATGTGATTGCTGACTATCAGCTCGCTGTCGCCATGATGCGCTTGTCGTCCACCTGGTATGTCCTCAGGCCGGTATGCCCAGTACACTCTGAGAAAGACATGCTCGGGATCTCCGCCGCGAACTTCGAGAACTTTGGCGATCCAATGCTCAATCGAGCCGGGACCTTCTGCGATCTTGTCTTCTTCGCTCTTCTTCACAAAGATCATCTGACCTACTTCGAACTCCTCGCCGTTCACAGTGAACCTCCGATAGCGCCGCATAGCCTCCCAGTACAGCGCAGGTTTTATCTTGACGTGTAGCTCAGGTAGTTGCGTCTCGGGATATGGATTTGGCTGCGTGGTTTCCGCGTCCAAAGGCGCGTCAAACTCGCTGACGTGCCCGCCATTTACAGCGCCCTGCTTTGATTTTGCTGATTTGCTTGGCTTCTTGTGTTTCCTGACAGTGACTGCTGTGATCTTGAAGCTGAGATCCTTGTCTACCGTCGACCAGTCAATCCTTCGTTTCTTCGCACCGTTGGGTTGAGGCGTTGAGCCATTGGATGTGGGCTTCTCGTCTGCGACTTTGCGCTTACGTGCTATTGTAGAATTGGGTTGAGGCGTTGACCCAGTGGACGAGGGTTTTTCGTCTGCGACTTTACGTTTACGTGCCATTGTGGAAGGTGAAGGTGGGAGAGTTGGCGTTGGTGGAGTGGTGACTGTGATGTGCTGGTGTGTGCTCGGTGCGGGCAGCACTGACTGTCTGACTGTGACGCGGGATATTAAGCGAGGGTACTGTGCGGTGGGAGCGGAACGATGGAGAAGTGGGCGAGTTGGGTTGTTATCCGAAATGCAGTATCAAACTGAAGTTGACATGCTACAGCTCGACGCGTCTGGCACCGAGTGGAGCAAGCGATCAGTCGCGCCCGCGTTGTCAGCTGCCATCACGCTACCGCGCCGTGAGAACGCTAGGCCCAAAGCATCATATCACGTGAATCCCTATCGTCTCCGTCACGACATCCTCGCCAAGCGCATTGGCAAGGCGAGACGGTAGTCATGAACACAAGGACTGTCTTGACGAATATCCGCGAGCCATTCCGGCAGCTTCCCCTCATCTGCCATGCGGACTGCCGGCTCAGAACGAATTATTGAATAATACCAAAGCAGACAGTCTCAGCCTTGATTTACACAACGCCACGATGGGCGATCACGTTCGTCACTCAATCGATGATGCATGCCAACATCAACCTTTGGCACCGTTGTCTGACATGGCATTGTGGTACAACATACGACGCGACGCGCCGGTTACTCGGAGTGCTCGGCTAGGATGGCATGCAGGTGAGATCTGTATGCCTGGTCAGCGCATCTGACAAACCTCTGTTAAGGGAAGAACAGCTGGGTACCCCAGATTCCGTGGGCCGCGTTCCGGCCGCTATTGCCAACACATGGATTTGGCAGAAACGGCCAAGATGCACTGCCACAGCATCATCGTTACCCAGAACAGGAGAAGTCCGTGCCGAGTGACCGAAGACAGGTGGGCGGCCGCCAATTTAGTCTAGTACGGGGCCTCTAGATGCGCTGGGAATACGACCAAGGGCCAATGAATAAGCGTGCAGTGGCCATTGAGGTCTCCGGGAGGATTGTGGATATGGAACACGCGGCCATGCGTTGATGTCGATGAAGGAGCGCGCTGCCGTCTGCGCGGATACGGAAGAAGTCGCAATGGAATACGAATCTGTCAGCCGGTAGATGGATCGTCCAGCGCGCGGCGATCTCCAAAGACCAGAACCCTTTCGCAGGTTCGCGTCATAGGCACGCTAATCCCTGCCGCGTGCCCAGAAATTCCTCCACAAGTCTAAGTCCACCACGGACCTCAGATATACGTACTACGCCTACCGCTCTTTCGCTCCTTGTAGTTTCCATGATTGCTGTCCTCCTCCGCCTCTACACACATCTCTAATCCTGTGCTCTCGTCGCTCGTTCCCGAAGAAGCTCTAGTCGCTGCGCCGTAACATTCCGCGAGCCGGTGTACCCGTGGCTTGCACGCCTGGTTCCGTACCGACAACGCGCCCGTAGAGCACCTGCATTGTGCACCGCATAGAGGAGAGACCTTCCACTTGTACTAATACCGCCACTCGTTGCTGCCATGGGTCGTCCCAAGAGAGGTAAATAATGCGCCGGCTACAAAACCGCGTCCCTCGCTCCCTTGTCGGCAGTGCCCGTCGTTGGAAGAACATTCACTAATGTTGCGCCCGGTTCGCCCCTTCACAGTTCTGTCGTTTATGTCACAATGGGGTGGTTCCAACCAGAATACCTTGCAAAAGAACCCTCCGTCCGCCGGACCGTCTCCGGGCCCCGCGTCCCCCGCTCCGCCTTCACCCTCGACGAAGCAACCCGTCAGCTCAGCCAACTTTGCACAGTCGGCCACCGCTCTCGACTCGTATAACAGCGAGCGCCCTCCCTCCCGCGCGACCCAACGCGAGCGCAGCGACTCGCGAACCTCGGTCCGTCCCATGTCTATGATCCAGACATACCAGCCGCCCGTCATGGAAGTAAGCCAGGACACGCTGCCCGAGCTGCAGCGCATCTTCACCTTCCTGAACAGCCACTCGAACAAGCTGTACCAAGAGGGCTACTTCCTCAAGTTCCACGACACCGACACGCGTACGTCAGCCCTGTAGGCCATGCCTGTCTGTGATACTAACGGCAATGCAGGTGGCCGTCCCGCGCCAGATCGGAGATGGCAGGAGTACTTCGTCCAGCTCGTGGGCACCATCCTCTCCCTCTGGGATGCGAGCGCGTTAGACCAGGCTGGGGGTGACGCCGAGGTGTTGCCCACGTTCATCAACCTGACGGACGCTGCGATCCACATGGTATGTCCGCTCACGCCCTCACTATGACCTCACTGACCCCGCAGATCCCCTCCATGACCCTCAAAGACGGAAAGAAGCTCGACAACATCCTCAGCGTGTCCACGGCCGCGAGCAACAAATACCTCTTCCACTTCGATTCCTACCACGCGCTTACGCAATGGACCGCCGGCATCCGCCTCGCCATGTTCGAACACACGACCCTGTCAGAAGCGTACACGGGTGCGTTGATCGCTGGCAAGGGCAAGACGCTGAACAACATCCGCATGATATTGGACCGACAGTGCGCAAAGTACGAGGACTGGGTGCGCGTTCGGTTTGGCGCGGGCACTCCGTGGCGCCGCTGCTGGTGTGTCGTCTCTCCGCCAGATGAGAAGGAATACCTCAAGATGCAGAAGCTGCAGAAGAAGGGCAACGCTTACGAGCGACCGCCGATACTCAAAGGCGACATCAAGTTCTACGATACCAAGAAGGTCACCAAGAAAACCAAGGCCATCGCCACGGTCAAGGACGCCTACTCATGCTACGCCATCTACCCGCAGTCGAAGCCGCTCATCGACCAGTCTACATTGGTGAAGATCGAGGGCAAGATCACAATTCACTCGACGCCAGAGAGCACAACAGAAGGATTCGTCTTTGTTATGCCCGAGTCGCGTCCCGCTATCTCAGGATTTGAGATTATGCTCCAGTACCTTTTCCCCGTGTTCGATACATTCTCACTATACGGACGCCCAAAGAAGTTGATTGCAGACGTTCTAGACACCCGCGGTTTGATGTTCGCTATGCCCTCCGACAGGCGCTACGGATACTTGGAGATGTGGGACGTGGTGGGCTTGATCAACACTGAGGGCAGCGACAAGTGGTCAGAGCGCCATTGGAGGAAGCAATTGAAGGACCTCACATCCACAAGGATGGTGACTGCGAACCAGGACGCAGAATCCATCTACAGTCGCGCCAGCCGCAGGAATACCGTCAGCCGGGCAGGCTTCACACCTCGTAACCTGCGATTTGAAGACCAAGGCTCCATTCGCTCCAGCCCGTCCACACGCGCGTCATCTCCTACACGCAAGTTCCCAGACTTTGAAGTGCAAGCGCCGCGTCGTGTTGGAACAGCTCCCGCTGCAAACCCATTCGGTACTCCACGCCATCAGCGATCTGTGTCAGAGCAAGTCAACGGACGCAACGAGAACACTCCATCTAGATTCACTCGAGATGAGACACCATACGAAGACGAGCGTCCGCCGACGCCTCCCCAGCATCGTATACTCAACGGTTCGTCGAATGGGGCAGTTCAGCCTTATGATTCGTCTGCGTCAGATTACGACGAGAGCCCCATCAAGGAGCCACAGAACCTACCACCGCCGCCTGCAGATCTGTCTGCTCCACCGCAAGGTTATGTCGACCTTCCTCCTACCCAGGAGCACGCTGCCAATCAAAAGCCACCCATTCGTCCCAATATGCCCATGGCAAAACCAAACCCTGCAGTCGACTCTGCCACGCTTCAGCAAATGGCTGACGCTTCACATGGATCCTTTCCAGGGGGCGTAGCTGCCGCTGGCGCAGTCGGGGCTTGGAGAAATCAGGACACCATACAGAGCAGACGCAGTGGTGACTACAACGCGTACGGTGATCAGGGGCAATCGATGTATCTTGGTGTCAACTCAAGGCCGCCTCCAACGAACCAAAACTCTGGGAACCGCCTGTCTACCATTCCCGCATCACCATACGTCGAGCATTCCGAGTTCGTCGACTCTCCCACAGGCTACCAGCCGACAGCTCCATCGGTTCCAGAACATAGTGAGTTGCCGCCACAGCCCCCCAGTCACGAGCTCCCTTATCGTCCGCACCCCGAAAGCGGCGGCATACCCCGTAAACCAGTACCAGGTCGGTCTCCCCTAGCCTCGCAAGAGGATGACACCCTTTCGACCAGTAGCTCAAGACTCGACAGTTTACGAGAGGACGTAATCGACCCTGAAGCTCTCGACGCTTTCAACATCACACAGCCCACTCTGAACCGTCAGCCAAGCGGATCAAGTAGTTTCTACGACGATGATGCCATATCGACTTCCACGCCAGACTATGCCAGCATCGCTGAAGAGGAACCTGCGCCTCCTCCACGAAGAGTGCCTGAACGACGCGCCGACCGACCAAGAAGCGGCGTTTTGACCATGATTGGAGACCCAAACGTAAAGCTTCCCTCAGATGAAGATCCACATGGCTACAAGTCTGTTCTGGACCCAGCACAGGCGCCTGCAGCTGTTCCTAGTATTGACTTTGGCCCGACGTACGCGTTGGACTTTGACGGCAAGCGTCCGGGCACTAGTGGGACCATGACACAGATGCTACACGACAACAGCGCCTCGCGATCCAAAGAGAACCTTGCGACGACCCCGAACGAACAGCACCGACTGTCTTATATCTCCGGTGCAGGTTCACCTAACCAACCCATGCATGCGCGCAGTGGTTCGAACTCTCCGCAGATCTCGGATTCACGACAAGTCGCATGGCAGCCTGCAGCAGCGTCACCACAGCAGCCGGACAGGACAAGGTTGGATCCTGAAGATTGGGTGATGCATCGTGCGGCGCATCAGCAGCAGCCTATAATGTATGGACATGGCAGGAGCAAGTCGCACACCCCACCTCCTTTCGGTCGCACGCATTCTGGAGATTGGACTCGTACGCACTCTGGAGATTGGAGTCATATTCAGCGGTCGCCTCAGGGTTCTCCAGGTCCTGCCCGTCCACCCAGCCGCCCTCTAAGCCGTGGTGCTGAGACACTGCTTAATCAACAACCTACTACTTTATCTGCTCGCGAGCAGGAACAGGTGGCTCGCATGACGAACACTCCTCTTCTGGACCTTTCGCAGAACACCAAGAAAGTGCAAAAGGAGCCTCCGACAGGTCTTACAGGTTACATCGATTATCGCGAGAAGGAGAAGGCGGCTCACAAGGCCAATCGCCAGAGTTTTACACCGACTATGCAAGCTGAGATCGACCGACGCACCTTGCAGACCCAACAGCGCCAAATGATGGAGGTCCAGCAACGCCAGCAAATGATGATGCAACAGCAGATGCAGCAACAATATGCGATGGCTCAGAGCAACTATGCGCCGAGCATGATGGGTACTCCTAGTGTTATGGGTATGGGCACGCCAACCGGCATGGGTGCTCCGAGTGTAATGGGCGCGCCAAGCATGATGGGTACTCCTAGTGTTATGGGCATGCCTACCGGGCCTGGTACACCATCAGGCATCGTCGGAATGGCGTACTCCACACCGAGCCAGATGCACCCCATGTATCAGCAACAGCAGCAGCAGTACTTCCCCCAGCAGGCGCCAACCCCACAGATGAACGTCCCTGGAGGTTGGGTCTCCCCAGCGCAAACACCGCAGAGCCAGTATTTCCCACAGCCGTCACCGCAAGGCTACGGCAACATGGCGCAGCAACAACAGCAGGCTCCGCCCACGCAGGCTTACGGCGCAAGCTTCGACCAGGCGCAACAGGCAGCAAAGTACGCGCAGCAACAGCATCAGGGCCAGTACCGCCGTTAGATAGATGGGTTATTTGCTTAGAGAGTGTTGAGGTCATTCGGGATCGATTACAATTGGATTGAAGAGTATGAGACGAGATGCCGATGTTCACTGTATATATTTCACGTCTGCATCTTCTCGTACATAATATTAAGCATTGAGAGTGAGAGCTTTGGATTGGATTGCAGGCTCGCTCAGTATAGCATTGAGATATTAATGGAGTTATGATGATTGAGAGTGTGTTCAGTTGCTTGATCACTTGTAGTCTTGATGTCTATATGTCGACTTTCCTTACGCGTTGAAGATCTTAAAACACGCCATCTATTAATTCCATTCTTCCCAGTCCCGAAATATCGCTACGCTCTCGCTCTGGCTAACGTGGAACTGTATCTCAGTCTCAGAAAGAGGCACGTTCAACACTCTGCTCAAAAGCTGCGCAAATTTGAACAGCTCATCGCCCTTCCATCTTTGATGCTTGAAAATAGTTTTTCTGTGTTTAATCCGATTGTCTTCGTGGTACAGGAGGTCGATAAGAATGTCTTTTGCTGACTTGCGATAGTCGATTTTGATAGACTGGCCATATTCTGCGACCCCTACAAGAGCGTAGACTTTATCTCGAATGTCCCCACACTCATGGTCGCCATATGCTTCCAACAAATCCGAGAAAGTGACTGACACACGTGGTGTGGATTGACCCCGTATCATAGCGATGTCCATAGCAGGACTGGCGAGGATTTCGTCAAGATGAGACATGTAAGTCTTATCGTGAGAAAAAGAAGGGTCCATAAGTTCCAAATGTCTGACCGCACTTGCGAGGTCCTCGAGCGATAGCACAAGACTAGATAACGAGACGATCTTTGAGCCACAATGTATCTCCAGGTAGTCCGCAAGCATGACTTCCTGTATGATCCACATTCGGGACCAATATCTTCTGTTACATAGTGCTGTAATGCTGCGATCCTCTGTTGAGGTTAAGAACCTCTTGAACCTAGGTACTCTCCGGGTTGGACGAGGCCAGTTACGGTCCTCGTCACTCTCGTCACTCTCGTCGGTATCCAAATTCAGCTGTTTAGTCCAGTCGACCAGGTCTCCGTCCAAAATCTGCACGGCAATGTCGCTATCATCGCCCTCTTTACCGAGCCAGATCAAAACTCTGCCAGCTTCTGAATATATGGAACTCATCAATCGAACTTGGTGATTACGCTCGTCGACCTCCGACTGCTGTATACAGATTGCGTCAATCCAGAAGGGTCCGTAATTTCCATGGAGTAGTTGCTGATGTAGGAAGTCCCATAGATTCTCGCGAATTGGGACACTGACGCCATTGATCTCGATATTGGTGTGCATTACATCGGCACCCCAGGTGTAAGACAAAGCAGTATACGATGGACAGTCTTCTGGGCTGTAGGTCTGGAGGCTGCATCTTGTGATGTCTTCGTCATTGTTGGGCTCGAGGATGAGCAGTCTGATCTCTCTGCGCGTCCGATCGAGGGGGCATGACGCATAGAGGTCGCCCATCGTCCGTGGTTCGCATGCGCTGGGTAAGGCTGATGAGCGTTTCGTGGTACACGACGTGAATCTGTGATGTGAGCGTGCTCTCGTATACGAAAGAGACGACGAGGAAGCTGCAGATATGTTACACAAATGGCTGCCTGAAGCTTCGTAATACCTGGTAGAGCGATAGAGGCTGTGTCGCTGAGCCCATGACGTCGAAGCTGAAGCGCTCAGCTCTGCACACTCTGGCCGTGCTATCACAGCCAATAACACGAGGTCAGAGGCTGTTTGGATGTACAGGTCTGCGCATCGAAGACTATGCCATGACGACAGTTATTCTTAAACACAGGTAAACGTTCATTGGAGTTTACACTACGAGTCTAATGTTTTGATTGTCCGATTGATTGAAATGCGTGACGATGTTTGCAAAATAGAGTATGTCACCTTGGATTGATGCAGGATACCTCGGAAGGACGAAGTGCGGGGCATCCCAAACGAGACAGCTACCCCTCCATGCAGCTTTCACGCCGCTAACCCCATCCTACCTCCATCTCCACACCACACCCTGCATGAGCCTCGTCATAGTATCCATCGCTCACGATCCTCGGCCAACCTTGTTTCTATTTGGTTCCAAACCTAACTCCGTCCGACGACATTGCCGTGAACAAGGATCGGTGTCTCGCTGCTGAAGTTCTTTACGTCCTCCATGACCTCCTTGGTGCCCTCACTCTGCAAGGCCTTTCCGACACTCTCAAGGCTGTCAAACTCCATGACGGTGCTGATGGCGTATGGACCATCGGCGTTGAGCTCACTGACGGCGTAGGACTTGAGACCGTGGTCTTTCCAGTTCTTCATGGCGAGCGGCATGTGTGTCTTGAGGTAGTACTCCTTGTTAAAGGTGGAGCCCTCCTTGCGAGGGTAGAGAACGATAGCGGTGGCGCCAGACATGATGATGTATAGGTGGATGGTATCGGAGAGTTCTGTACGCTGTGAGTAAAAACCAACAGCAACTTGTAAGATGTACTGACTGTTGTAGATGCGATGCGCGGTGCTGAACAGCACTGACGTGGGAATTAGTGTCTTTATAGCTGCGCCCGCGCCTGGGATCGACTCAGTACCCCACTTCAAGATCCTTACATCCGCTTCGGTCCTGCTGTTTTGCACACTCGCCCGAGATTACTCGCAATACCAGTCCGATCGGGCTTAGGATATATAACGTCGACTTTTGTCAGCATGCTGCTATCTTTCGACCACGAGACAGCTCCAGACACACGTTACTGGAGTTTGGCCGGATCTTCCCGAGTGGATATCCTCACATGCATCGGAAGGGACCTTGAAGATAGATGGCTACTTGCCAAGCTAATCTACTACCAGACACTTAATTCAACATCGTCGCGTCCACCGCCAGCTGTGTCGTAACGTATAACTCCGGTACAATTACGAAGAGTCTTCGGGTGTAATGGCCTCGAAGGTCCCCATCTCCCTATTGCCCTGGCGATTGCGCTCGATCAGGCTGTCCTTAATAACCACGACTGTTTGAGCGCCGGGCTCCTCCTCTACAGAAGGGAGTATGGGGACAGGCAAATCGTCTTGCAGGCCAGATGACCTCACGTTTCCCCACACCCTTCCTCCGGTAGGCACCGCAGTCTTCGCCCATATGTACGCTGTTTTGTCCATTCCCCTCAGCCTGAGCCCAACGACTGTGTGCAGCTCTTTTGTAATCTTGGGCTGGACGACAATGCCTGGTCGCCATAGCTGGGCTTTCTGTGGATCCCGAAAATTCCGGATTGCAATACTCGTGCGATGGGCGATTACTGCTTCTTGTATGACGAGACCGGTACCGGAATGTACAAAACGTCGAGGCAGTATGCTGTTAACCACGCGACCTTCTTCTTCGTATGCACAATCCGTCAATCTGAATCGGAGTGCGGGATCCAGCCCAACGATTGCGTCCGGGAACCTCCCGCAGTCGATGGTACACGACGAGCCCGACTCGAAGAAGAGCTGTATTGCGGGAAAGAACGTGTTCAACGTCCAGTAAATAATCTCTGGGAATAGTCAGCTCTGCCATCCTCTCGCACTACGCATTTGGTAGACGCGCTCTCGTTGATCAATTGACTAGCTAAATCGGTTTTGTCCAATGCCGCTGTGTGTTCCAGACTGACAGTCCGCGGTATGAAAGCGCCATAGTCCGTGGTAGAAACGGTCGTCGCATCCGATCCTTTTGCCTCGTCATCTTGCATGAGGACCTCGCTGAGCTGGTCCCGAGAGCTCCAAAGTCTTGGGAAACCGCGGCGCTGTGCTTCTATGAGAAGATTCTCTGTTGGGCATTGGTAATAGTCCATGCGGCGGAAGCAGCTCGTATTACCGAGAGGACATCCGCCGGATAATGGATGCTTGTATAGTGGTCTTGGATTGCTATGACAAAAATGCAATTGATGTTCGTGGTTGCGATAGAGCTACGCAAAGATGTGCCCAAGAGTAGAGGTGTAGAAGCGCGCTTGCGTGCGCGCTGCGAATGTGATGACTCCACTCTTATTGGAAGGAAGGAACTTGAGATGACCCACACTATGGAGAAAGACCGTCCAAGTCTTCCAGCGCAAGAACCTTCAACTTCTAAATAGCTGATGGCTTGGCGTAGGGAAGGTGAGTTCATCTGGTCTTCGCGATGTGTCCATCAACGTGTGGACAGGCAGTCTATCACCTTTTCGAGGCTAAGGTCTACACTCTTGGCATTGCATTAAACACAGCCTTGCAAGTCGTTATCCTTCCCTTCTGCGAAGAGATATCATGCAAGGGTGTTGAGTAGCTGGCCTTCGCAGGCATGCTTGTCGAGCGGACGAGAGCGAGCTGTTGCAAGCGCATATTGAGCAAGCAGAGCGCGATTTACTTCTGTCTCATGCGACGTTCTGGAAGAACTAAGGTGGAAGGTTTACCTGCCCTTGCCTATGTCTTACCTAAGCGGAATGTTGTAGAACGTGTTACTGCGTGCCTGCGTTATCCCACTAGCGGCGCTTAGCGGGTGCTCTTGCCTTCTCTACTTGTTTACTCTCACCTTTTACTGCTTAGCTTACTAAAACACTAATTCTACCGCGTTGTAAGTACCGCTACTAGCTTTAAGACGACTAATAGCGCCTACTATGTAAGTTACTTCGCACTCCCGTGATTATTAACTAACCTTACTTTAGACGATCTAGCAGCAAGCGCGCAAGCGGCGAAGCTGTAGACACTAAAGTAACTAAGAAAGCAAAGCAATCTGTTAAGACAGCTGCAAAGCCTGCGAAGAGTGAGCAGCCCGCAACTAAGACTCCTCAGTACTTTCGTTTCCTCGATCTTTCTCCCGGTATGTCTTCCCTGTCTCTAACATTGCTAGACGCTAATGCTGCAAAGAGTTACGAAACAGGGTATACGATTACGCCAACGAAGATGACTCAAGGAATTATGCCCTACGGCCCAGGCCTATCCTCCCAAACTCGCCTCGCAAGTCTCACTCGGAGCGTCCCTGGAAGTTCTTTGCCTTGACCCAGGTATGCACACAAATTCGCGCAGAGTATCGTCCTCTTTGGATCCAACATCTCCGTGTTAGATTCGCGACAGTATCCGAGTGGACCCATTTCGGCAACGCGTTTCTGCATAATGAAGGTGTAGACAAGCTAGTGCCGGGTTTGGTGCAGTTCTCGTGGGACCACCGCAACGACGGCAGATCAACCTTCGACATGATGCCTCTGCTACATCTGTATGTGCAGTCTACCTCATCAAAGGTAGCATTCGTTCCGCACATGCTTGCCACAAGTGGATACACCGTGGAGGATGATATGTGCCATAACTGTTACAGGAATTACGAGATGGAAGAGCTTGGGTACTCAAGTTACGGCGATGATGATTGCGAATGTCCAGATTACGACTGGTGCCGCAGTGAGTGGAGGACTTTCAAGAATAAGCAGATGAGATATACTCGCACGATGCAAAAGTTTATCCATAACTCGAACGAAAGCTGGGCCCAGGCTGTACGAGAGGATAAACTGACGGTCACATGCACAGTCAATAAGACGGGCTGCCATGTCACCTTCAAGATACTCTACAAGGAACCAATCTGCCAGACTACCACCGACTCCCAGCCGGCCCTGGACTTACTGGAGCAATGGGGAATCTTCGATCTTCCGGTGAAGAGGTGTACCGACTTTGTGCTGGTGTACGAGGATAAACAGGTTACGGAGAAGGATGGTCGCAAAGGTAAAGTAGCCGCCACGAACAGCTGTCAAGATATCTTGCTAACTTATTACTAGTATGTAACCCCCTTGCTATAATTTGATAACGCAGTTCTAAGACATGTCATTATTTGTGCTAACAGCTTAATAGATCACAAACTCGGTTGTGCGCAAAGTTCACGTTCACAAAGACCCACCGAAGGACGAACACGAGCCAATCGCCTAAAGGCTCTGTGCAAACTGAAAATCATCTGTCATGGATATGTCATACCAAATAGCTGTAGTAGGACTCATCTGAACTATGCGCGCTCGTGCTAGGGAGCTTTTCTATAAAACATCGTGTTCATTGAATGACTACAAGTTTCCATGTACAGAACATATCGCTCCGCGCACTACTCCCGTTGCGCAAAGTTGACGCATCTTCATATCAGAGAGACATGGCCGGGGCTGAGACGAGAACAGCGCTCAAGAGCTGACTTCTCCAGCCTCAGCAGCCTCGCATATATTCGCGTGCCAGCAGCTATGTGGTTCGACCATGCTGCACTGGGTGTGAGCGTGCCCCCGGGACAGGATCTAAGCTGGCAGGGTTTCATCTGGCTGAAGGGGGATGGATACATGCCTTCTATTCTCGGTCTAGTTCTAACATCACTGCAGACGCTCCACGTGGACTTCCCAGCCCACGATGGTGCCATCTTAGCTTTGGGCAAAAGCTACATCCAGCGCCTGGAGAAGAAGGACTGGAGATGGTGAAGGCTGTTGGGTTAAGTGGTAGATTGTACGAGCTGATGGACTGCAAAGCCCCAGTTGAACCGAGAAGTGTGTTTGAGTTGGCTGGAATAGGATTGGAAATGCAACTACGCGGGTTTGTGTATCAAGAGACGTCTGCATGGAGACGCGAAGGGGTAAGGGCGAGGATGCCATGATATTGATGTTGATTTAATTAAGGTACGAACGCGATCTTCGCACACAGTTATATCAGCAAGACATCCTGACTCTACCCTACTAACGCTGCAGCGGCATCTGCCATCTGCTTCAGTAGGGCGTGTCTCTCGTCTACCACTTGCGTCTGCAATCTGAGACGCTCTGTTAGGGCACCGATGTGTTGATCTTTCGCGACCAAGCACGCCTCTGATCTTGAGACCACCTCGGCCCATAACTTGTCGTTCGCTGCTATCTGCTCTCTCAGGTCTGTGATGGTCCTACTGACCTTCATCTTTGAGATGAGTGATGCGCGTTGGACATTGGTAGTGCGGCACTGTTCTGTGTCGACTCTATTGTCGCAGGCTTGGACTATTCTGTCCACCTGGCTAGTAAGTAGTGCCATATATTCATCGGTATGCTCTTGATCAAAGAGTTCCCAAGCTGAACACCACCTTTCTAGGGGAATGTTGAGACGCTGCGACAACTCATGAAACGCTCCTTGACATATCCTGGAGGTATTAAGCCTTGCTAGGAGAGCGAACTGCTCTATCTTGCAGTCAAGATCGATGTCTTCTGCCAGCCCAAAGCCGAAATACTCGCTAGCTTTCATGATCCTATTCGTCAACCTCTGCAGGGTGAGGCCGTTACCTTCTGTCTCTCGCATGAGGAGTTCCCCGGCAAAGTCTAGTTCCTCTTCCAGCTTCTGCTCAAACTGAGCTTTCTGCTCTTGGAGGGCGATGTCTCTTTCGCTCTCAAGCTGCTGCTTCTGCTCCCAAAGAGCGTTGTCTCGTTCTTCGTCGTATTGCTGCTTCTGTATCTGAAGCGCATTGAAATTCTCGGTCTCGGACTGCTGCTTCTGTTTCTGAAGAGCGCTGTCGAGTTCGCGTCGGAGCTCACGCTCCTGCTCTCCGAGAGCGACTGCACATCTACCCTCTAGCGTACGTCTCTGTTCGCTGAGTTGTCGTGCTTGTGGCGTTTCTAGATCAACTGTGTCTGTGATCTCCGCTTCACGTTCGCCAGCATCTTCGATCGATCCTGGAAACCATGCCGCGAGTGCAGCAAATGGGTTCATCCGAGAGACGTCGGTTAGACTTGCCGCATCGTCGGCAGATTCATCGCGCATGGCGTGCTGTGAGAAATATTCTCGTGGTGAGCCGTCAGGCTCGGGGTGTCGTGTTGGGTCACCCATTGGCGTGTGGGTGTGGGTGGGTGTGTGATGGTGACGGGAGGTGAGTGCTCCAAGATTGGGATTTGACGACCTTCGCCCCTTCCGCATTGGGCAGGCGCACCTCTACCGGCGAACAGCACCGACACCTGAAACTTCAGGCGCTAAGATTGATGAGTGTGAGATGACCTGATTGTTTCCGAATGAAGCGGTCAACCGGATGCATCAACCAAGCATCCTTCACTGATCACCGTTCACCGTCAATACCGTAGCGTAGGATGATTCACGCAACAAGCATCTCATGTCTACTTTTTGAATGCAATATGTGCAGCGAGAGCTGTACAAGCAAGCTTCCATGAGACCGATTTCCGCCATTTTGATGGAGGAACAGCCAGGACGGACGACTCAGCACATAATTGACCTCGTGGAAGACTTTGAGTGGCGGGCGATTGGCACCAGCGCACAACATGCCTGCCATTTCGAGTTCTTTTCTGTAAGATCAAAGTGCAAGGCAAATCGAAACATGAGTCTTTCTAGCATGTTTTTAATTCTCGCAAAACAGGGTGGAACAGCCAAAGCCATGGCCGGTTTTTCTTCGCATTTTATAGAGAGCAGAAGGGACGTCCACAATCATCCATGAATCGGCACGTGGTTTTTGGAGATACTCGAGAGAGACTGTAATGTAGAAGAGACAACAAGAGGTAGACGAGAGGTTTATATACCCATCCACCCTGCCGAGCTAGTCGCCAGTCATGCCAAACACTACCTTCTTACGAGCTAGCGGACGGCGACATGAGCACCCCATTACACCAGCATGACCATTATTTGGAGGTTGAAGACCACAAACGCGGCGAGAGCACATCAATATTGCCCGGTGTTCTTTCGGTAGCCGGCAAACCATGAGTTGCTCAAAACGATGCGAACGCACAACCCATTTGTAGTCGGCAACATTGGAAGATGAATTGAGACATGGCATGGATGTCGGAGTTTTTGAACCCGCAGACCAGGAACAAGACATCGATTCCGTTATGATGAGTTTTGGTGATGTCTTCTTGTCATACCACGAGAAGGAGCGGATCCAAAAGGACCACATGTAAAAGAATGATGGGTTTTTGTTGGTACTCAGATAGAAGAGAAGCAGGTTCCACACGGTCTCATGAATGGTTGAGAACGTGTTTTGAAAAATAGGTCGTTTTGAAGGAAGAAGAACCAGGCCGCAAGTCATAAATTGCTCAAACTGCATTTTTGGAGAAAGGCAGACCAAGCAGCTAGCCATGTAATGGGTCATGCCCAGTTTTGGAAAATAGCCAGCAGACTTTGTAATGAAGAGAAGAAAAGTAGTCATGCAGAAAGGACGGATTTATATACGCGAAGAATGAAAACCGAGCACGTGAGATCCTCGGCTGGAAGTTGGAAGACCGAACGAGCTTGATCAACACCAGTACTACACCAGACGAACTAAGTACATACCTCAATCAAAACCACTCTTCTTCACTGCCAACTCCGCAGACCACACGCACCAGCACCAAAACGCCTTGTCTTAGAACGGAACGATTTCACATTCCATTTCCACAGATAATATACACTCGGCGCGAGACTCCTCACTTAGTCCCACACCTCCAAACCCCATGCCTTATCAAAGAAACGCCACAGAAACCCTAGCATTCGACTTGCTCGACAGTATTTATAAGGGGTATAGAATCTTGGAAACCCCGGCCCATGTTGTAAGTAAGAAAGAAAAAGCACTAATTTCCACTCGCGCCAGCCCCTGTATTCACACCACTCTCCCTCTTCCGTCTCCGCCGCTGCCTTGCGTTGTCTTTTAGGAACTGCGGGTCTATGAAACCTTCCGGGAGCTCAAACTCCTTTTCTGCGAACTCGGGGATGGGCTGGCCGAATGCTGATGCGTTGCGCCCGTGTCTATGTTTGCCGAGGGCTGCGGCGCGGAGGTGTGGTTTCGCGTAGAAGGAACTGAATGGCGCTGCGGGTTCGGGCGGTACGAAAGGGAGGAGGAAGCCATGGGGACGCGGTGGCCGCCGTGGTTTCGGTGGCTCGGGCTCCTTGGGCTGCTGTCGCGGTGGTGGAGGCTCGCGGCTGCGGACTACGATGTTATCTGAGTCTTCTGTTTCCTCGCCATCCTCTTCTTCGTCTTCTTCCCTCGCGGCGAGCGCTGCTTCCTTCTCAGCACGCAAGCGCTTCTCCTCTTCTTTCCAGACGCGGAACTTGTCGACGAGGGCTTCTACCTCTCGGACAAAGTAGTCGCGCTTCGCCTCCCAGTCCTTTCTCTCGCCGTCTGTCACGCCCGTTATGCCCATGACCTTGAGCCAGTCTGGGCCCTGCAGTCCGTCGAGCAGTCTCTCCAATTGCACCTTCTCGTGCATGGCGCGCTCCTTTTCGATATTCCGCAGCTGCTTCTCCTTGCGCTCGGCACGCCGGTGCTGTGTGAAGAAGACGGAATCCGCGAGCGGGTCTTCGCCGTCATTGTGGGAGATGGCATTGGCTATGGAGGCATAGTTGAGGACTGTGAATGTAGTCGACGACTGGGCCGGGAGTATTGACGGATCTGAGGCATGACGCGGTGGGGATGAGTGTCGTGCTTTCCGTGACCGCGTCGGGCTTACTGAGCTTCGCGGGGGCTCTGGAGTCTTGGCCTTGATGGGCTCATCGACGATGTATATGGGCGTGTCGACATCGAGAAATTCTGCACGCGATCAGAGCTATATCGTGACATGTGACAGGGACAGTGACCTACCATCCTCTTTGGGCACGCCGGCAATGATGTCGTCGTAGTTGGCAAAGTAGACGGCGAGGTCGCTCTTCAGCCGCGAGCCTCCATCGTGGCTCCGCAGGCTCCTCTTGTCTGTGGTTGTGGAGGACGCTGTGGACGCCGGGGCGGGGACAGCTGGGGGCGCAGCAAGCTTGCCGGAGCTGCCAGGCCGGGGCGTGGACCTCGCGGAGGGCACGTCGTCGGCGTCGATGCCCAGGGGCGCGGCGACGCCATTGGTGATGCGCAGCAGCTCGCCATGTGGTTGTGTAACGGTAATCTTGGTCGGCGGTCTCGTGTCGGTCGCGTCGGGCTCGAGGGCAGTGGCTGGCCGCTTCCTGCTGCTGGTGCGCGCAGGCGGCGGAGGTTTTGCAGGCGTGTGGGCGACGGGCTTGACGGCGCCGTCGTCGTCGGCGCGCGCAAGCAGAGGGCCGCTTTTCGAGGCCCGTCTTGTCGCGGCGGGCGCGTGGTTGTGGTTGCGCTGGGCTTGTGGGTGGGCGTCATCGCGCGACACGGGCAGGAAGTTGAGCCTGGTCTGCCGTTCATTCGAGCTCCGCAGCAGCGAAGGCCGAACGGCGTTGGCCATGGTAGTGATCAGACTTGAGATCATTCGCGATTCGCTGGGTCATCTTTCAGCTATTCATTGTGGAGCTGCCATTGATGTCGCGCTGAGATGTGCCAAAACGCGAGCCGTTAGGGGGTCGTCGAGTGGCAGAGCCCGCGCAGTTTGCCAAACGAGCTGCTGCACCCACGGCGCTCCCGTACGCCTCACCCAGACACTTGCAAACAGTATGAGGTTGGATTAAGCTCTATAGCAGGCCCTCCCATCTCCATATCGCCATGTACACCACAGGATTATTCAACGAATTGCAGTACAGCGCATGTGAGATACTTGGAAGCGTAGCGCCACTGACGTTGGTAGCCAATCAGTACGAGTGGGCGACATCACATCAACTTGAACATCATAACGCTAGAACTGACTATAGGAAGTCCCTCCCTTGCATCTGCAATTGAGGGATTGAGAGATCGAGCAATTGAGATGTCAATGATGGTTCACTCGAGGACTTGCTCGTCGCAACTGGGCACACCCTAGCACCACATCAACAACATATCCAACTCTTATCCCACTCAAACATCAACGTCAGTGTCAATACAACCTCAAAGCCACGCGATCACGAGAAGAGAAAGTCCTTCAAGACGGGCGACCCAGCAAACTCCGGGTTCAGCAAAACGCAACTATTAATAGTCAGCCGATATGCGCTAGCTTTGTTATCGATAAACACACTTGAGAAAGTACGAGAGTCCTTGTTTCCGCTTTTCCAGAAAACGGGGCCTAAAGCGAGCTATGCCCGACGCGTTAGCACTATATTGTTTGGTGGAGTGATGCTGCAGGCGGCCATGTGACTTACATATTACGGATTTGGGTGGGAAGTGCGGCATGGAACCCGCGGCATGAGGAAACGTCTGGAGCAGCTTGGTGTGCAGATCTTCAAACTCGGAGTATCTGGTACGATCAGCAGAGGGAATCGAAAGTGACAGAGCATGGCCAACCTCTTGCGTATCTTCATGGGACCACCCTGTCACAGTTAGCATATGCATGATGGTTCATCACCTGGAGATGGCAGTCCACCACGGGCCCTCTGCATGAAACCATTTTTTGAAAAACAATCTCGTGCAGATGATTGGCTGCGAGGACATCGCCGGGCAGGCTAGCGCATCTCCATGCGGCTGGGAACTTACATCCAGTGTCTCGACCGTACAATTGAAGACGACGTAAGCTCCAAAGCCCGGTGACGGCCCGCCGATGACAACGTAATCATCTATCGTGACACCCTTGGCCCAGAGGACTTTGCAGTGGTCCGAGTCCTCATCCGTATGGTCCTCGAGGCCGATGGGGGTGGGGCGGCCGTTGTCAGCAGAGTAGTTGCTCAGATACGAGGCATTGCGCTGGTGGGATTGCCAGTAGGGTGGGACCACAGTGACAGTGGCGGGGGTTGGCCCATCTCGGGCTGGCGACGAAGACGGGTCTCCAGTTTCAAAGCTCGCCGGCTCCATCCATTTACAGGAGATGGCTGGGCAGGTGGCGCGTCAAACGGGAGGGCGGTTGGTATCTAGAATGCCGCGTGGGTGTGTGAGGGGTAGATATGCTCGCCGGTGCATGCAGCCAGATGCAGTCGCGTCTAGTGTCTTGTTGACGATGTCTGGAGAATTGGCGGCGCTGGCCTCGCTCGTCTCAACCGAATGATGCGCAGAGCCGACTAGGATGCAGGACCCTGAGAAGCGACTAGTCGCTGCAGCCAGTGGCCAATACGACCACACGTCCATCCCATCCCTGTCCGGCCGAGGGATTAATGGCAAACTTCCATCACGCAGTCTGCCATCTTCCACGGAATGCCGCCCTTTCCACGCCGACTCCACCGCATACTATGGCTTGAGTCACGGCAACCCGTCCCCGACAGGCATCGTCCCGGGCGAGAAGGATGGCTGAAGGTAGGCGGGGGTGCACGTACCGGACCGTGAACTTTCCTATCTCGAACGACCGCTAGCTCATTACTTCCCGTCGACACATCCCTCCCTTTATATATCGGACGCCGCCTTTCCCTCCAGCCTCCTCATCACTTTCGCTGTTGAGGTTTACTTTTGTATTTGATCGTCCACCGTCTGTCGCTGACCGTATATCATCTAATACTTTCGCTTCATCCTCCGTCAACAAACACCTCCCAAGCATCAACATGCGTTCCGTCTTCGCCCTCAGCATCGCCGCCTTCACTGGCCTGGTCGCTGCTCAAGACACTCCCCAGCTGAACTACCCATACACCATTGATCCCGACACGGTTGAGCAGTCTACTAGGGGTATGTAAAAGCTATCATTCGACCTACGACGCGTCGTCTAACATTCTCCAGATTACTGGTGTGACCAGAACAGGGCCCAATGCCCGCTCATTTGCCTCCAGCAGCCCGGCATCAACTCCATGACCACCGAGCAGAACGACTGCGACTCCGACGCTCTGACCTACACCTGCGTCTGTGAGAACGGTGTCGCGCCCAACATCACCGAGTACTCCCAGACACTGCCATACTTCATCTGTCAACAATGGGGAAACACTTGCGTTGAGAACTGCAACGGCGACAACAGCTGCCAGAGCGCTTGCCGGTACGTTGTATCAAGTTACTCATCCCAAACACAACTAACATGTCAACAGTGAGGACCACCCTTGCGGAGCTCAAGACCCATACCGCGGCAACACCTCCCTCCCCACCACCATGGCCTCCACCGCCGCCGCCACCGGCACCGACGGCTCCGCCTCAAACACCATCCCCGTGACCGGCTTCGGCGGTGCCTCTGAGACCGGCTCCAGCGACAGCAACAACAACGGAGGCTCCAACGACCAAGGCGGCGCTGGCTCCATCTTCATGCCCAACGCTGGCCTCGGCCTCGCCGCCGTCTTCGGCAGCGTCTTCCTCGGCTTCGCCGTCCTCTTGTAGAATCTAGGACCACACAATTTCGCCGCGCAATCTAAGCTTCGTCCATCTTCTGTCCTTTCTTCATGCATAGCGTCTTTCTGCATAAAAAGCATCTCCAGTCCTTTCGGTTAGCTCGATACCCAGCTTGGGCCTTTTCGCTCATTTTACATGACAGCCTGGCAAGGCTTTGTCTTTGGTTGTACTGCATGGGGTTCATGGCGTATATTTGTAATGGATGATGGTGATGGGATGTTGGTTCACTGGCCCCAGGGGCAGAGGTAGCATTATCTAGTATGCTGTTGTAATACATTGAACGCCGAGGTGTCGTGGATGAGGAACTACCATGTCTTCCTATGTGCTATATGACTATGCACTGTGATGGGTTCAATTTACATATGAATCAAAGGCACGTCCCGAATAACACCACACCAACCTAGAGATACACTTTTGGAGGCGATTCGTCCCACCAACACCTCCCCTGTAGACTCTTCCTCGGACTTCGCTGTCGCGGAGGACAAGTTATAACGCTCGCTCTTCCCTGTTCAATATACACAGCGCGTAGATCCTGACTCCCTTCCAAACTCCCAGTCCGTCGCTTAACAGGCGATGGTACCGCTTCCAGTGCCGGCGAGGAAGAGGGAACAGGGCTTGGAGGCGCAGGATGCGTGATACTGAAATCCGGCGTATCATCTACATGCTCCACGGCTGAACTATACTTGCTAGCCAGAGAAGAACACGCACTGAACCGCGAAATGGGTTCTGCAGGTTTGCTGGCCAGAGAAGAACACGCACTGAAGCGCGAGACGGGCTGTGTAGGCGTAGACAGATGCTCGACGGAGACGTGAAACATGCGTGATGAACTGCTTGATACCGATCGCTGGAGCAAAGCTCGTTGAGGCGGGCCTAGATGCAGGGTTTGCATGGTATCTAGCGAAGGAACAAGAGTAGGATCGAGAGAGGGTGAAGAAGGTGCTGTGTCTGGACGGTCGCCATGACGGAGGAGTTCGGCTGTTGATGAGGTGAGAGATGGAGGGAGAGTTGGGGAGTCGCCTAGAGGTCGTGCTGAGCCTTCCGGGAGTATGGATGAGCGGCGGCTGTTGTGGTGTGAAGATGGGATGGAGATGGGTTGAGAGTGCCCGTTTGCACCTACTTCGATTGTGGCCGTGCCGGGTGTGTTCACGATGTCGCGCGCGCGTTGGAGGAAAATGCTGGTTGCTACAGGCATTGGGTTGGTAGAGTCGAAACTAGAAACCGACGAGGAGGAGGCGGTGGAGCTGGTCGATGACCGCCGCTGAACGCGTGGAGGTGCAGGTGTGGGTGGTACAAGACGCACGCTCACTTTTCTTGCTGTGGGCGTTTGCCTTGAGGGTATGACAGGCTTGGGCCTTATGGGTATGGTTTGTTCCATCGGTGATACTGCAGCTGACGACGGCGTTGAAGGGCCAGCATGCTGGTCAGATGATCCAAGAGGCAAAGTCCCATATTCCGTTAGAGGGAGCTTGACTGGATCTGACGAGATATCCCGATCCGTATGGAGGAGTTGGTCTTGAGAGGTAGATCCAGCTTCCTCATCGTATTCCATCCGTCCCTTGCCTTTCTCTACTTTGCTGAATCGTCGCGGTTTCAACAGATCGCTAAAGCTAAATTGGGAGTCTTTTCGCTTTCGTCCTCCATACCTCGTACTTTGCGTACTATAAGACTGGAGGCTATGAAGCTGCTCCAGTTCGCCATCTCCATCGTAGTGCAAGTCGCAGTTCGACTGTGTTTGCATGGTGTTTCTTCGCCTCGCCTGGAACGTTGTCTAAAGGGTGTATCAGTTAGCAGTGATGTGGAAGCAGCCAAGCCTACTTCGCCATTGACATGAGGATATTCGCTTACATTTGGTAGGGAAGCCACACTCATCCCAACGACATCTCCGGGATAACGCTGGATATGCGAGTTCTCTGACGGTCCACTCAGGGTATGAAATACACTTGGGCGTTCGCTGACAGTAGCGTTGAATGATGTGTGTACATCCTCAACGGATCCCCTTCGACTACCAAAGAGGCGTCTAAGCTTTGCATTGACCTTCTCGATGATCTCGGTGACTTGTGATGGTCTTCGTGGATGAGTTTCGTTTTCGGGTGTAGGGGGTGTGGTAGGCAGGGTAGAGTAAGCACTGTGGAAGTTTGAACTGGGCCCAGTCATGGCTCTATTGTATGCTGGTGGTGGTAAACAAGGACAGTCGATCGCTATCTCACGACCGCTCGAGTGTATTCTTCTTTGTTTCTTGATGTAGCCACGCGTTTGGAGGAATGATTCCGATACTTGTCGCTTCAATGAAAGCCTTGGAGGGTATGGCAATTGGAAGAATTCTGGGTCTACTTCTGTTTCGCTGATGTTGAAAATTATACAAGGCTCGTCGGGGAGTGTGTTTCCAGGTGCTTGAGATGTCATAGCATCGGAAAGCTAGAAACTGATGGCAGAGATGACAATAAGAGCGAAGCAGACAAGAATTTTGTTGACCGATACCAGTACTCGATAGTCGGATGACTCTTGTTACTTTAATAGACTAGTGAGAAGTACGGTACGATCAGCAAGAACATGCTGGTGCCGCCAATGACCAAAGTCCTTTACTTGTACCAATGAACTCCACCAATGGAGCTCGATCGAAAGATACCAGATTGTCGATGCAATCGTATGGAATTGACTAAACAACATTTTGTGTGGTTAGTGGCAGTTTGGAAGTCCAGCGAAGCAATCTGGAGCAGATAAGAAGGTCCTGCACGCTGCACACGCACGCGAGAGCAGCGTGCATCTCGAGCGTTCCTGGGAAGACTGGCCTATGGGAGTCACCCGTCATACATCAGTGCCATGGTAGAGACCGCTGCCATGGTGACTTAGGTGAAGATGTACCATGCCTATTATCTCCAACGGGCGACACCCTGCAGGATACAGGCATACTCGTCATGATTACCACGACGGAAGTTATACCGGATGACCAAAGAACATTGATCAGGCGGGTTGCGAAGATTTCGAGTGCGAAGGAACTGAGAAACCGCAGGGGATGGTATGATGTCCTGAGTAGCTCAATGACAGTAACCACTGCCTGGCACTGGGCGACGGCCAGATGATCAATGGAGGGGTGTGAACATCAGCTGCAGAGACGTTGCACCTTGGATAGCCGTTAGCATCGACGGCACTCGTAAGCCTCCAGTCGTCATCATCGTCAGAAGTATCCTTGGAAGAGGTCCGAGGATTTCAATTGGAAGCAAAGATGTGGTTGTGGTTTGGCTGTGGAGAACCTTGGAAGGTGGAAGAACCCGGCGCTAACATCGCGGCAGGTCGACGCGACTTGCCTTGATGACATAATCTTAGCGTGTCTGGCTGCAAACATGTCAAACATAGCACGATGACACCACCATTCCGACTTTCGCGGTTCGCGAATCGAATACGTCCGTCCATGTCACGATAGTCTTCAAAGGCTCGTGATGCCGCCTCGAATATTACCAAGAGGGCCCAGGGCTCTTTCGTCACGATCGGCGGTCTGGGTCCATCTGCGGCCTCAGCGGAGGTTTGCTTCGAGCTCCGCAACTGCGCCAGAGGTCTACGATGTCGTCTGCGTAGGAGGCGGCCCGGCAGGATTGAGTCTCCTGACAGGACTGAAAGCGTCGCCAATTACAAGTGGGCTCAAAGTTGCGCTCATCGAGGGACAAGATCTACACAAAAGTCGACTGCCACAAGATGCGACTTTGGAGAGCTTTTCGAACAGATGCAGCTCCCTCACTCCAGCTTCTGTGAAGAACTTGCAGGGTACGAATAAACGTGTTAGATGTTCAACAGTTCTCCTCTGACATGCGCGGTGTAGAAATTGGAGCATGGGCGCATGTCAACACACCCCGAGTGCAACCATACCAAGAAATGCAAGTCTGGGACGGCGTCACCGATGCACGGATATCCTTCGATTGGCATACAGCGAAACCTCTCCTCACGCCTCGCAACCCGTCTCAGCCTACAACAATCGCCTACATGATCGAAAACGTCAACACGGTCACCGCTCTACTAAGCCGGCTCGAACAATTGGGTGGTGTCGATTTCTACACATCTACAAAGGTCAACTCGATAGATCTGGGTATGGATACAGACAAGATGGACTTCTCGTCGTGGCCAATCCTCACGCTGTCCAATGGGAAGACACTGGCTGCTAGGCTATTGGTTGGGGCCGACGGTGCGAATAGCCCCGTGCGGACATTTGCAGACATTGAGTCACGAGGCTTTGACTATAACAGACATGGTGTGGTGGCTAGTCTGAAGCTCGAAGGACAAGGTTGGGGTGGTCCAGACCACAAGATTGCATACCAGCGGTTCTTGCCAACCGGCCCAATCGCTATGCTGCCACTTCCAGGTAACATGTCGACACTCGTATGGAGTACCACGCCGGAACGTGCTGCGAAGCTCAAGGCACTGTCACAGGCCGATCTTGTTGCAATGGTCAACGCGGGTTTCCGACTTTCGCCAACAGACCTGGAGTACCTACACACCCTCTCATCCGGACAGGCAGAGGAGGTAGCATGGCGAGAGAAACATACGCCCGTCGACGAACACGCGATACCGATGCGAGTAGCACACGTGCAAGACGGCACAGTCGCGTCCTTCCCACTTCGAATGCGGCACGCCGATACCTACACTGGTGAACGAGTCGCACTGATTGGCGATGCCGCGCACACCATACATCCACTGGCAGGTCAAGGTCTCAACCAAGGCCAAGGTGATGCTGCCGCGCTCGTGCGGACGATATCACATGCAGTGCAGACCGGACAAGACATCGGATCGACATTGGCGTTGGAGAGCTATACCAGTGAACGGTATGCGGAGAATAATGCAATGCTGGGCGTGTGCGATAAATTGCATCGTCTGTATAGCGTCGAATCGGGTCCGCTCGTAGGGCTACGAAGTCTCGGATTGAGAGCAGTCGATGCAATGGGCCCGTTGAAGGGTTTCTTCATGAGCCGGGCTGCTGGCGGATCGTAGGATTCTGTACCTGTATCTGTATCTGTATAAGTGTCTGTATATAGGCTGCCAACGCAGCACCAACCCAACATTTTCACACGACAATCATTCCCGAAATGCTGTTCCGCGCCTCTCTACTGCTTACCTATCGTCCCGAAGTTCCTTGCAAAGAGCCCCACAAATAATCTAGCACTACGGCACCTCGAGGAAACGTTAAGAACAGACTTGTCCTACCTCAAGCGGACATCGGATTCGCAGCGAGCTTTCATCATCGACCATGGCGGACCATCAAAACGAAATTGAGACGTTCGGCAGCAACGACGACTTCTGGATCTTTGGATACGGGTATACCTGCCTATGCGTTTCGAACACGTTTAGCCGAAAAGCTAACGCCTCGGTCGTAGGAGCTTGATATGGAAACCACCGCCACACTACGGTACGGCCCGAACATGGCATGGGCGAAAAGCAAACATGCCATCTTGACTTCTGTCTCAAAGAGAGCCATTCCTTGATCTGACAGTGGAAATCAGATCAGCGTATTCCCGGCTACATTGAAGGATACGTGAGGAGATTTTGGCAGGTATGTGTCTTTTTTCCTTGGCTGGTGCCAGATATGGCACGATATGGTACGATCGAAAAAAGGTTCTTGACTGACGATCGTATGTAGGCGAGGTATGGATGGAGACTCTCCAACTGAATCGTGGAGAAGCGGGGTTGGAGTAATGCTAATACGGAGGTGCTACAGTGAAGATCACCGCGGTACGCCCGAAGCTCCGGGACGCGTTGTCACGTTGATCGATAAGGCGCATTGGGAGACTTTGACGGATACTGTAAGTTATTGTTTGTTATATGATCTGCTCAACTTGCAGCTACATACCCAGATCTGCCTATGCAAGAAGGCCTGGTGCTAAGAAGAATAGCATGAGTCCACCGAACGCGTTTGGGGCGCCGCATACCACATCCCAGCTTCGAAGGTGCAAGAAGTACGCCAATACCTTGATATTCGCGAGATAAACGGGTATTCGATCCAATTCACGCCGTTCCATCCTGCTATCAGCACTTCAGAGGTCACGTCTCCGCCGCACGATTCCGAACCAACTGAAGCCGAAGCTGGCATGCGGGCTGGCATCAAGGCCACTAACACTATCGCTGTGAGAGAGGAGGCGGGAAGTGTTAGATGCCTGGTGTATATTGGGTTACCGGAGAATCCACAATTTTTGGGTGCGCAGAATCCTGATGCGGTGGCGAGGAAGATTTTGGAGAGTATGTTTTATCTCATTGCTTTGTCTGCTTGAGGTGTCTCGTCTGCCATGGTTTGTTATACTGACTCTATCACAGGCAAAGGTCCGAGTGGCGAGAACAAAGAGTACCTCTACAACCTGGATACTGCACTGCTTGGTTTGAGCTACAATAGCGGAGATGCTCATGTGAGCGACTTAGTAAGGCGATGCAAAGCGCTAGAGAAAGAAGCTGGAATCGGGAATGATCACGGAGACGGCGGTGCCGAGGGGTTGTACAGAGTAGGAAGCACCGAAGAACAAGAGGAGGTCGAAAAGTAAACTCAGAAGGCAACGGACAAGTCCGTAATGTAGCATTGCATCCGTGGATGTGGCGATACGCACTTATACAACAACATCAAGCCAACCGAGGCTTCTGCGAAAGTCGCTGGTGATTATGATTACGAAGCAGGCTAGCCTGCATGTGACCAGCCATAACGCCAGATATATGCATGATGCGCTTAGAATATACAAGAAGAGAACGTTGGGGACTATGCCCATGCGCCGACTAGTGCCATCAGCAACGCCCCTGCTACGACACTGGCACAGGCCTGTAGTCGCCGCTTCCCCTGTAAAGTCACGTAGCTTTCGTCGCTCAAGAAATCTTCAGCAAGGAGCTCCACCAAGCCAGCGAATAGCAACAAGCCACTGGATATGGCGTTCATGAATCCCACGGTTAGTAAGCCAGCTTCACTTGCTGGGTCGTACAGGGTGTGTATTGCCAACCCTATTGCCTGGCCAATGGGTGTGGTAGTCCCGTAAGCTAGAGCCATTAGCCACGGTTTCGGCGATCCGGCTGGAAAGCGAATGGCGCTGATTCTGGAGCCGAGTGCGAAGCCTTCGAAGGTTTGGTGGAAAGAGATGGCTATGAGGAAGACGATGAAGGCGGTGCCAGTGGCGACCGAGAGCGCCATACCTATGAAAATGGAGTGGAAGAGGATTCCAGCTTCGAGCAGTAGACATTGCAAGAGCAGTTTCTTGTTCTGGGCTTCCGTTTTCTCCACATCTTCAGAGGATTCGCCGCCAGGTTGGTGGGCATGATTGTGGGCATGAGGGCCGGGCAGCAGGCGAGACTCGTCTTCTGAGTTCTCCTCATCTTGACGGGCGAGCTCTTCCCTGCTTATCTCAAGATCTGAGTCATTGTCGTCGTCAATGGACTTCCGGCTTATCGAATCATTAGGCGTCATCGGCGATGCCAGAGAGAAGGACGGTGATCGGCCTGCCATGAGATTGGCCGAAGATTCCACATCGTGCAGCATGATGCCCGGTATGTGGCCATTCGCTCCTGGTGTGCCGTTGCTGAACCTCCCATAGCTATGGCTTCTCTTGTGGCCCGGGCGCGCAGCCGCAGCGTGATCGTCAAGGCCTAGGTTTTCGTAGCCAGTCGAATGCGAATGGCCTGCTCCCCTCGATGCGAAGAACATCTCCACGCCCACTACTACAAAGACTGATGTCATGGCTATTAAGCCCGGCATGGCCGAGTAGCCCTTGTTCCAAAACGGGGGTAGACATGGGTCGGTGAGGGATTCGAAGGCGGTAGGCAGGAGATGGACGAAGGCAGTCGCGATCAGGACACCCGTGCCGAAGTGTCTAGATATGAAGAGGAACTGGTGGGGAACGGGTATCGAAGGAAAGCGCTTGACGACCACGGGGAAGGAGCAAGCTGTGGGACGGTCAGCAGTGCATTGGAAGGTATGCGAAGAAACGTACGAACCCGCAGTGCTAAGTGTGAGTATTAAGAACAAGGCGAAGACATGTATGGGTGTGTTGTAGTAGCCCTTTGCCCCTTTGCTTCCGCATTCCGGTCGCTCATCGTTGTCCTGCTGTCTTCGGAGCAATTCCGCGTGGAGGACATGCGCAGGTATTTCCGAAAGGCCTATATTACAATGACGTGGTCAGTATACGGGCGCCACAGTCAGCAGAATAAGCAGCCATGTCCTACCTGCTAGAATGCCGTCTGCCTGCATGGCGGTGGTTGACAGAGCTTCCGAGCATCAAGGTACGCGCGGTTCCGTCGCGCTTGCCCAGTAGGTGCCGGGGTCCGGAGCCTCTATTGTTCCTCGGCCTTGCACCTATTCACGTCCTCGTCGGGTCCGCATTCCGACAGATTCACTTCCTTTCGGACTGCAAACCTATTTGTACGTGTGTTCGGGGGTCCAACATGCACTCTGGACAAAAAAGTATTTCCGAATGCGCCGAAAGCCAGGGGTGCGTCATACCTGTTACATCGCGAACCTCAGATGTCATGCTACCGACAATCGAAGATCTAGTATCCATACAAGGTCTGGGCCCACGCTTGAGAGTCTGCCTTGTATCATAGGAGACTACCGTGCCCCGGCTCCTGTTAGCATCGGTTGTGGCGTCTTTCATGTCCATCTCCAGTTTTCTGGACAGCAGGTCCTGTAAACATCACGCAACGTTAGCCACCGGCCGTGGCCGGTGCTATTTTTGATCCTTCGGTAACAGCGACCCGCGAGCTCCATCGTCTACATATATAGACAGAGACCCTGCGTTGTTCACCGTGTCGTGGAGCTATCTGGCGTACGGGTTTGGGACGGCGCAGCTGCATCATCATTCGAGAGATTGGCATCGGCGCAGGCACCCCGTCACACCCGACTTCGCTTCTGCAGCCTAACACGAATCGGGTCCTTGATAGTTTCACGTCTCGCGCCCCTCCATCGCCTCCAGTAACACCAAGGACGATACCGCCGCAGCCCAACGTCGTCACGGCACATGTCGGTACCAAAATGTTGATCCGCGAGCATGGACTGGGAAAGTCTGGACTAGTCACCACGCGCAACGTCGTCCCGGCTACACCCTGCTAAGCCCCACCATCTACATCTTCTCTGAACAGGACAATACGGCATATTGCTAGTTCTGTAACGGGAAGAACCGCTGGAGGGCCTGAAGGAGCCACCAAAGGGAGACCGGGTGGCTCTGACCGACAATGTCTGATCAGCGAGACTTTTTGTTCGTCGACGCAGCTCAAGCGAAGACGTCTCGCCAAGGTCGTCGCAATGCTCGTTCTTTTGTCATGCAGAACGCCCGCAGGAAAAATCCATGGTCGACAAGCAAACATGCTGCGAAGCAAAGGAAAACGGGAAGCTCAGAAAGCGCAAGTCCTAACAGTACATGTGCGTCTACGTCAAACAAGGCGACGCCAAGCCCTCCAATTGTTGCGAACAGGTCTGATTACTTTTCTTCCCCAGAGTCTGAAGATTGTGCGATAGCCAAGAGGGACATTTGTCCAGAGTGTCAGATTTTTCTGTGCCGCCCGGGTGAGGGACTCTGCCAAAGATGTTTGCTGGTCAAGCCTGCGGCGCCTGCAGAAGACCCAAATAATCAGCTTTTCGATCCTTTTCGGACTTCATCCGTCGAAGTAACCCGCAGCGTATCGGAACTGTTGAAGCATTGTAAGTGGCTGTCCCTGCATCTATCCTTCTATCGAGACATTCCAGTTCGCTGGGTTCGTGGCACGACAACCCTGTACAACGGCTTCGAGAGTGCGAAGTCTAGATTGCATCCGATTGCATGGCGCCAAACATCTCAATGCCCGGCATTGTTGGTACTCAAACGCTGACTTGAACCGTGTAGTTTCCACGGAGATGGCGCCTGGTATCATCGCCGTCGACGTCCGGCATCGTTCTACTCTGATGAAGTCGGACTGGTTCGGCACGGCGATAAGTAATCCAGGCTTCATGCACAGTCTGCTTGCTACGGTCGCGCTGCACGCTTGGGTGTTTGGAAAAGACACCATCGATGCAATCTTGCACCATCGAGCACAGGCTATTGCTGCTGTCAATGCAGCGATACTGACACCGGATGGGATATCTGACGCAAACATCGGTGCAGTGTTCAACTTACTCACCATAGAAGAGAGTCTCCGTATGCCATTTTTCGATCTACACGAAGACCACACAGTCCAACTCGAGATCCATCGAACCGGGCTGCAAAGAATGGTTCAGCTGCGTGGAGGACTAGGAGCAATCAAAACGAATCGCATTCTTCAAGCCTTTATGCTTTGGTGCGTAGCCTCTACTTCCGCGTTCTGTCCAGAACCGGTTTGGCATGTGCTTACTGAGCATCAGGCATTCGACCGCTCACGCTATTAACGATTTCCAAGCGCCAAGCCCCTCTACATTGGATTTCATCAGCACAGCAGGCTTCCCACGTCATCCACCAGGCTACGAGTCGAACATTTCTCAACATCTGACTGATTATTGTCGGAATGCGGGTATCAAAGAGCCACTTAATGCCTTGGTGGAATTGGTACTTTCCCTGATCGCTGACCTGAACGTCTGGTTCGGTGACCCTGAGAGCCCTCTGGATCCTCTCGATATTCAGAACTTTGCATGCGTCTTGGAATGCTCTCTGCTAACATGGCTGCGCAAGAACGAACATCTTGTCACCCCTCTCGAAGACGCGCTATGCGTTGCGCTACTCATCTTTACGGTGCGGACGACCGAAGCGTTTAAGCTACAGTCTCACGTCCATCTGCTCCACTCTGCAGCGAGCAAGCGACTGGAGAAAGCGCTGAACTGCACTATTCGTACCGAGTGGCAGCATTGTCCCGACCTTCTACTCTGGATACTCTCTATCGGTGCGATATCAGCGGAACCCTCGCCAGACAGCACATGGTTTGTGTATCAGACCTCGCTTGCCTGTGCGGAATTTGACATCCCATCGGCTGAAGCGCTTCTCGAACGACTCCATCTCTGCGGCTGGGTTAGCTACAAGCTAAACGACGCTGTGTGTCAGCTATGGGCCAGGGTTGTGAATCTCAGGTTAGATGACCGTACATTCTTACCTATGCATTTGCTTGCTTATACTTGAGTTCTTCTTGTACGTAGGCTCGCGCCCTTCTTCGAAGCGCCCCTGAAAGCTGAAGACGCCAACAGCCCTGTTGGGCCGCTGCAACATCATGTTGCCGAGCCCGATCTCAACGCTTGGGAAAGCATCGACTGGGCTGCGCTCAGTTTGGGTCTCGACGATCATAACCAAGGGCACGCAAACAACTCTGGCGATGGAGACGCAACAGCAGAGCCTTGCGGTTCTGGAGTACCAGAGGATTCCTCGCATGTTTTTGGTAGTGGCTACGGGTTTACTTGTATGTGCAACTTCCATCACTCTCAACTTTTACTAATGCCCGCATTGCTGGGTGCTAACCTTCGTGGCGAACACGCAGGGCCTACGACGCAACATCCTTATGCGCACTGGATGAGCGGATCGCAAAACCATCACGAACAATGAGGCAGATTTTCGGCGACTGTCGTTCTCGACTTGCTGTGTACACACCGGCACTTGGCCGATGTTTCGGCAGGACTTGGGCTTGGAAGCAACTCTGCATTGGACACCATCAACACTGGCGAGTGTCATGATGTCATCAGCCTCATCTCCACTGCCACACGTGGCCCAAACGATCTACTAGGAAGGCTTGCCTGGTTTTTACAATACTGTTTCAGGGTTGGCGATTGGAATAGGACGAGTGTTGCGCGATGCTGAGAGGTCTCGAGCTCTTGAGAGATTATCTTGGGCTCGACAGACTGAACCCGCTGCATTGTAGCTACGTAACAAGTGGGTGGCTTATGTTGATAATTCTACCTTGCGATAACCGTGGACGAGCTAGGCGACGAGGCAAACAACGCAACAACTTGTCTGTCGCTTTCTTTGTTCTGCATCTGCCATCGGTGCGCCTAACCGTACAACACTGTCTCCGAACTTACAGTGTATTGGATAGTAAAAGGGCTCTAAAGCCGTACGTGATGGTGTTCATGACCCACCAGACCACGAGCACCGCGAGTGCACTAGCTAAGATCTGCGAAACTTCTAAAACGCTGTTCATCCTGATCTCGCTCTCAAAATAGCCGTCGTCTGTAGGGAAACAGCCGTGTTGCTGGAAGTGTTCTAGCAATTCGTCCTTTTCAGCCCATCGCTCATAGAGCCACTGATCAAAAGCCCCATCATCACCAACAGGAATGCTCTTGACATCAAAGCAACGCCAGTGTATGTGAGCTATCGGAGCTTTCTGATTTTCGATGTAAAGACTTTTGAGACTGTAAATATCTTGTCCAAATTCACCGGGACTAAACCTGGTTAGATGGAAGAAACTCAGTGTAGAACAGCGACTTACGGGATACCCTCATATGCGATAGTGCAATCATACATCCATTGCACTGAAGGATTCAACCCCTCCAAGCAGATCTGCAAGCCCCGAGTCCTTGGTAGCAAGACGTGCCGAAGGTCAGGCATACGCATCTTCTTCGCCCAAACACTGCTCATTTCCCGCGTATTTCTTGACAGATTCGTCCCCTCGGGAAAGATAAGCAACCACATTGCCTGTTGTAACGTGACATCCTGGAGGTGGCTCATGCGGTGTTGAAACCGCGGTCGGTCCGTTTCCCAACGGCGAGAGAGAAAGACCCATGAGAAGAACTGCATCCCGGGACCTAGGATTGGAATTCTCTGGAGCGAGTCCTTGAGAACTATAAACAGATGGCCATGATGCCGAGTGGTATACGCAGACCACCAAAGAAAGAGCCAGTCCGTATATATCTAGAGATGTTAGTTATGCTACAACATTTCATGCGATGTCAGAGGAGGTCTAGCGTACTTGATGATTGGCGACTAAAACGAGACGACTGGGAAAGTCTAGTTGAACTTGACCGCTAGAGGCCTTTCGTATTTGACCTCTAACACTTGAGTCACCACAGATCTTCGCCGAGCAAGGAGCGATCCGTTGGTTGAGGCCGAGGAGAAGAAGTGCAGTAGACTCCTTTACTATTGCTTGCCAAGCATAGAACCACTTCCGATTGAGCCAATACATAGGGACACCGAGCCATTGCTGAACGTGTAGACTTAAAATATGGTAAGCCCGTAAATCTAGGCACTGAACGTATGTGTTCATATCTTACCAGACTGCACTTGCGAAAAAGCACAAAGCAAACAAGATGGCCCGGGCTATTTGTACGGTTTCGGCTTTTGACAGCAGTGGCTTTTTCTTTGGATCCGCATGTAGCGACGAGTCTGGGTGACTAACTTTCGAGCCTTGCTCGCCGTTGCTTTCTGCAACACTTGATCGTGCATTCGCATAAGACATTATCCAGGATGTGGTCGGATGTTGGGACTTGCGTCTAGCACGAATGGAAACGATGTTACAAATCTGTCTTTATCGAAGAGGAAAGGCGAATGTAGGTACTTTGCATCCAGAGAGCCGCAAAAGCTCCAAGGCTGAGAGGAGGAAAGCTGTCATCATAGCTGCTAAATGGCATGTATCAAGTCCGATCCCTGACAGCTTTGTGGCGCCTCAATTATATGGTTTTAACAACCGTCATGTATCCTTCGAGGAGTCCGAGAAGCCCGCAATGTTGATGACAGGGAAGATGCTGCAGATGGCTGAAAAGCGCAGCTCACTGTTGTTGTGTAACTTGCCCCTGCCGCTTTGCCGAGCGTGACGTGGGGGCGAGATGAAATCTTGGCCAATTTCAGGGACAATCCAGTCCCCGCGCTTCGTTAGCGTCCAGAACCCCTTCTCTACCTAGTAATGTTTGCCCCGCTTTCCGCAGCTTGCTATGTGCGGAGCCTCATCACCAAGCGCTCATATGTATCTGAGGTTCGTAGATCGCTATCACACAGATGTACAAGGAGGCGTACGCATACGTCAATCTGGACTCTGTGGCGCACGTTCGTTCATTCTTGTGTACGTTTTGTGTAAATAACATCGAAGAGTTCAGTATTAACGCCTTGCTCTCTTACAATACAATGAGTTACGGCTTGCAGAAGAGCTGAACCGCATGAGATCCTTTGTTTCCGCTCTTTTTTCAATGTTCCAGCGACGACACTCCAGGTGCCATGCGATAGAGGACTAGTCGCTCGAGATAGTACCCATGCGCTGGAAAGTCGGCCGTCGTGAAAGTGCTTGATCGTCGTCCAGGGACACTGTCTCACTGATCTCCGTTCCGAATGTCGACTTTGTCGTCAGTGACGGCCTTAGTAAAGGCTGTTCGACGGTGTTGGTACTTTCCAACCCTAATTCCAGATTATTGAATTCATAGACGCCATCATCCCCTTTCGTTTTGATAACGGCTCGAGCAATGTCGTATGGGGAAGTTAGAACGCCGAGGAATCGCGCAGGCCATGGTGAGCGAGTTGTGATGCGACGCCGGTCTAGAAATACGTTGCCGCCTAGTTCCACCTGGATCTTACGCCTTGTTGGCTTAGCTGCATTATCTAGGCTGATCATAAAGAGTCTAGCCAAAACATAGTAAGCTTCTTGATCTGTATCGGCCACGAAATGCAACATTGGGTCCGCTGTTTCAATGCCGGCAACAATCCAAGATGTAATCGCGCGACTGAAAACACCTGCCCCAAGGACGCATGTCAAGATGAATGTAGCTATCGCAATAGAAAGTAATTGAGCTGAAGCAAAGCATGCAGTACCGACAATGAACACGGCGATACTAGAGATCTTGCTAAGCGAACGAGTGAATGTTCTCCGCCAGTTATGTGAGTGACTTGTGACAGAGACCTGGACGAACAGTGTGTTGATAGCGTCCGCGCGGCGCTGTTGCCGACCAGTGAACTTCACAGTCCCTGTCTTTAGTGATTTCAGCTGCTTGAGGGCAGTTTTGACATTGTCCGTCTCGTGTTGCTGATCGGGGATGTGGTTGGTGATATCATCTCCGCCTATAACAGTGAGGTCGTAGGGGACGTCTGAGAGACATAGCCTCCATTGTTTCTCGAAAGGTAGCTGCACGTAGTTGTCGATAGCGGCGCTTAATATGACTGAGTCTTTGTCAGTAAAACTTGCCAACCAAGTTCTGTAGCGTGACTTACCCATCATGTACCACAAGTGGACCCACCATTTCGATATGCACCACCACGGAAGAACAGCTCCTAACTCCACGACAATCATTGCGACCTGAGCAGAGAGTAGGAGGATCGACATTCCCGTGATTCCAACCAGGATGTACATCTTTGGGACCTTTCTTTGTGTCTCGCTCTGCAATTTCCGCTGGACTCTTCTTAACAAGATGTCTGCTCGTTGCTTTATTCTCTCTTTTTCGCCATCCTCAATCGTCTTTGGCACTTCGAGACTACTTTTCCACGCGCGCAAGTCTCCCTTTATGTTCTTCTTCATGAAGGCACTTTCGTAATCTTTGATCTTTACGGGAAGAATTGCCCCTCCAAAGGAACATGCCATTGCTAGGAAGCCTCCGAAAGGAATCATCGTGAGCAGACGCCAGATCTCGTTCGTAGGGGTTCCAAGTAAAGCTCCAATTGTAGGTAGGAGTGCGAGAACGCCGGCCGCACCATTGTACTCCGCCTTTCGGATTTCGTTGAGATTGTTTGCGATAGCGCTTTGTAGGCGGGAATAGCAAACGTAGGTCTTGTACGGACCGCCACCATCGGTTCCTGAGCGAATGCACCGTCCACGGTTAACCCAGTCTTTGAATTGAAATCTCAATTGTGCGTTGCCAACGTAATTATCCGTGATCGTACTGCAGTTGAGAATTGTTTCGTTGAGCCACTCAGATGGGATCTCTTGCGCTATCACAGGACATAATAGCCATAGTACCAATAGGATTGGAACGTGCCATTTCAAAAACAGCCGAATGTAGTGTATGGTACGGCGTAAGGGTGGCGAGGCGGTACGAGCGAGGTGGTACATGAATGAGGGATACGTAGATGTGTTGGATGGTTGAGTCGACATCTTCAAAGGTAGATAGTCAATCCTCCTGTCTAAAGATCGCTGCGAAGAATCTTTTCGTGCCCAAGTATATTTGGCGTGCTTGGGATATGAGGGATTCTGCGTTCGCGACAGAAGCAGATGACAAGATGCGATCTGTACGTACCCGACACATCAGCCTGACCTCGGGAAGCTGGCACTGCAGCCCCCAGCTTTCCAGTGTCGATGACACCCTCTAGTGAAACGTTCGAGCCAATCTCATCAATCCCGGACCGAAGACACTGTGGCTGCTGACATTTCGTGTACACAAACCACTCCACTCGTTATCAGGTATCACGCATGCATATATCGCTCGTGTGCTCCAGACAACACAGAGCGTGCGCCACTTCTAACTTTAGCTACACGCAAGTCGAACGATAAAGTCAGATCGGCACTCACTTTCCAATAGCGGCGAACAGTGATTAGGAGAAGCAAGGCTGTTACTAAGACAGTGGGATAATGCGTAGGAAGCATGCATCATACCCTGCCCTTCACCGGTCAATTCAGCCAGTAACATGTACTGGCCAAGACGGTCTTCAGTATGCGCGTTTAACCTAAGTACTGGAGGGATACATACTTTGTCGCCGTAAGATCAAGCGTCACTGGCGTTAAATTCCCACTCCCCGACTCCTTTTATGTATACAAACTACGTTCAATATCTCAGCCCTAGCAACTATGTCGGCCCACAAACCAACGAGAAACGCAGTACTTTGCACTATCCACGAGATTGAAAGCTGGCAGCTCGAAAACAAATATCTCATCGGCCATTATCGGAGGGCGTCTCACTCATACCGCGACTGCTTCACTAGTCTTGGATATCTACACAACCAAACAAGCAACATTTACACGCACTTGCTTGGAACACTTGTGTTTCTAGCTTGGGCTGTACAGACATATTACGACGTCCTCAAGAGATATCCAACATCGGACTTCAACGACTTCCTCGTTTTTGGGGTCTTCTTCATTTGCGCATTAAGTTGCTTCGGATTTAGTGCTTGCTTCCACTTGTTCATGCATCACTCTGCAGAAGTCAATCAGACCTGGCTGCTTTTCGATCTTTATGGTGTATTCGCCTTGATTGTCGCGACGATCTTCTCTGGTACCTACTATGCTTTCTACTGCGAACGCCTCTGGTGGAAAGTCTACTCAGGAGGGGTTCGTTGTTACCCGCCCTACAAGTGTTGCACGGAATTAACGAAGCAATATCAGATTCTCTCCATAACTTTCGCATGCGCTGTCTTCTGCACGAAACCTCAGTTCCGACACCCAAGATGGCGGAATGTGCGCGCGTATCTGTTCATCTCCATCGGCTTCTACGGTGTCCTTCCAATGACGCATTTGGCGGAGAAGTGGGGTAGACCCAAGGCCAACGAAATAATCGGGTGGAATATGATGTTTGTTGAAGGTCTTAGTTACGGCGTTGGTGCAGCGATATACGCAGTAAGTGACAATCCTCGAAATGGCTCGAAACTCTTAGTTGACTTCAAAAGTTTCGCATCCCTGAACGATGGAGGCCTGGAAGGTTCGATATTTGGGGCGCGTCGCATCAGATTTTTCATGTCGCTGCTGTTCTTGGAGCTGTACTACATTACAAGGGACTCCTCCGCGGATTTGACTATAGCCATAGTCCAACGTCGCGGGAGTGTTAGGACAGCTCATCAGCTGAACAATGGCGATTGTGTCGAGACGAGCCGTAGATACCAATCAGTGCAGTCGATACGATGATCGACTGCATGAACAGCTGATCAAACGGGCTCGTGCATGCTGCCATTTTCCATTTCCGGTGTACCTAGGTAAGAGGCGCGTGGGAGACGTCTAGAGTTTCGCTTGTCCCCGCCCGATGCATACATGCGTACATAGGTGTGACCGGCGCTAATTGATGTGATACGGGCCGGGTAAAGCGCACCGGTCGTGATTGGTTTTGCAGCTGGTAGCGAATGAGATGTGTTACTGGGGCCCCCCACTATGGGCTTTCCCGCACCTACATCGCTCGTGGGGAATATGTCTCCAAGGTTCTAGAGAGCACACACTCGAGCCGACTATACCTAGGTAGTGTCGAGGACAAAGTTTTATATAGACCTGTAGTCAAGACATGCTCATACTAGCAGGCCACAATTCATTAGTATTCAACGTGATAGGCAAGCACGTGTTTTGCGCGACAAGCTATCTAGGTACTTCGATGCTGCGATTGAAACACTGCTATTGATGACTGGCAGGGGCGTTCCAGCAATCTTAGCGCTATCGATTCACCCGTGGACTAAATCCGGATTTAGATCTGTAGAACAACATTCCATCAGATGGAGAAGCGCGTAACGCCGACTGCCTTCGCATGTGTATGTAATTTAGGGGCTCTAGACAGTTTTCGCCCTGCTCTGACGGGAACAGCAGGTAAGCGCCTTCAGTCCAGATTGCCGCCTGACCTTCACTCACGCTTCCCCGTCAAGGCTGCGCCCTATTTGGCCGTGCTTACCACAACGATCTATACAAGCTCTCTCATCCAAAATTGCTAACCCATTCGCATTATGGTGGCTTCTTTAAACTGTCGACAAGATTTGTAGGTATCGTATCAGATAGGCACGGTACCACTGCAGAGAGCTTTGTAGGCTGTTAATTCCGTGAGCACACCTACTTGAGTAGGTATCACTCCCCCGCAATGGGAGGATTTCATGCGCTGTTCGACTGCTAACTACTATATGACCAGGCTCTCTTGCCCTGCGCCGCACCGCGTATTCACGATTCCAAGTCGACCAATACTGTCGACTTCGTTATGGAAGATGCGACCACTCGCTACGAAGGCCAGGACACTCGAACCACAAGTCGTCGCGAGCTATACGGATGGTATTCGTACGGCCTCGCTGCCGAAGTCTTTACTGTATGCGGAGTTGGTACGCTGTCGAAACACTCTCCGTCTGAGCTACATCTGATGAGTTTGTGCTACAGGCTCGTTCTTGCCTATGACGCTCGAATCTCTGGCACGCGAAGTTGGAGTGCTTCAATCCGACAGATCAACGCCTTGCGCTCAGCATGAGCCCCCTTCAACCTCGCCGACGCTTCATACAAGGGACGAAAACCACTGTATCGTCCAGCTATTTGGCCACGAACTCAACACCTCTAGCTTCACACTGTACTCCTTCTCGCTGGCGATCATTGTACAGACGCTTGTCCTGATATCGATAGGTGCTATAGCAGACTATGGTATTACCGACCTCACTGTACAATGTTGTGGACGTGAGCTAATCACCTTCGCAGGCAGTAACCGGAAAAGGCTCTTGCTCATTCTGAGCTTCACTGGCTCTACATCTTGCATGCTGTTCATCTTTGTGTACCCCAGCATCTTTCTAGTTGGACTGTTTCTGACGATCGTGAGCGTTGCTAGCCTTGGCTCCTCATTTGTCTTGCTAAACTCATTTCTTCCGCTTCTCGTAGCGAATCATTCATCTATACGCCAACAGCAAGAGTTCCACTCTGTACCACTTGACGATGTACTCTCAGGCTCCGAGGACAGCGACAACGGCCACGATGACGATGACGACGCCGACGCTCCTGACAACGAACGTCTAGTTCCAGACAGACTCTCCGTCGATGCCCTTCTCAGTCTACCGACAATGACCACATTAGGAGAAGTGTCGCCTTCGTTAAAACTTTCCAACACGATATCGGCGAAAGGCATTGGCATTGGATATGCTGCGTCGGTTCTTGTTCAAGTTGTCAGCATAACCATCATAATTCTCTACCGCAAGGCCAGAGCTTCTGGTTCAGAGATCTCAACAACCATGCCCCTACGCACTGTCTTGTTTGTAGTGGGCTTTTGGTGGGCTGCATTCACAGTACCTACTGCATGTTGGCTTCGTCGTCGCCCGGGACCACCATTACCCTGGAACGTCGGCAACAAGAAGAAACAAGGACGAATCGTCCCAGGCTTTCGTTACTTGCTCTTTGCATGGGTCTCTCTATGGCGAACCATACTGATCGCTGTGAAACTGCGCGAAGTACTTATATTCCTTCTAGGATGGTTTCTCTTATCCGACGGTATCGCGACAATTACCGGGACTGCGATCCTGTTTGCCAAAGTTGAGTTACAACTGGGCGCCGCCGCTATAGCACTTCTATCT